AGAATAGATATCGAATAATTATTTACGATAAATATATTCGTTCGCAAGAGTTCGAACAATGTCGGGCTCTCTATCGATCTCGCCGGCAATAAACCGGCGGGTGTCAGAAGTCGGTACACCCGGATCGATTCGGCGTCTATTCGAAACGGTGAATTTACGAGGCTAACCGAATAATGGCCGCGAGCGGCTAGATCGCCGCGAGTTCCCCGAATAATTCCTCACTTTTTCATTTTCCCCGGACGTAAAGAAAAAACAGACCCCGGCGCTTCGGGGAGCGAGGTCTGGAAAGGGGGCCGAGACAAAAGAGAAATATATACAGGTATATATATATATATATCCAGGTTGAAGCGCGGCCTCGGCTCGGCCCCGCCGCGGGAAACTTTGCATGCCGGTCCCCCCGCGTTTCCTCGAGCGGAATAAAAAAGTTTTCGGAGAAAGTAGGAAAGTATTCGCGAAGGTGGTGTCTTACTGATTTCCCCGGGGGTGTAATCTCTCGCAGCTAGCCGGCGCCCCTGCCGCACAACCCCCCGGCCCGCATCGGACCACGTTCCCGATTCAACGGTGATCGGAATTATGATCGCCGGTGCACGCGCGACTCTCATCGACGGAAACCTAATTAACGGCCGACGAAAGAGCGCCGCGCCACTTTTCGTTTACCGGGGAAAAACAGACTGCGATCTGCAGATTATCCGTCGGTCCACTCGCGATTCAATTAACACCGGGCGATGCTTGCCCGCGCGACGGATACGGAGTCAAATGTGACTCGTCGTTCAGATCTTCGTTCAATTCAATTACAATGTAATTCGTATTTGTAATCGGAGTACGGTTACAAAATAATTGAGTAATTCAATTGGGCTAATTACGAATTACGATGTAACTGAATTGAAATTACGAATTACGATGTAACTGAATTGAAATTACGAATTACGATGTAATTGAATTAAAACTACGAATTACGATGTAACTGAATTAAAATAAACAATTACGTTGTAATTGAATTAAAATTACGGACTACGGTGCAATTGAATTGAAATTACGAATTAGGAAATGAGAAGTAGATAGGTAATAATGCAGAAAAAATAAAAGAAGAAAGAAGAACGAAAGAAAAACATAATAGTATTTCAATTACATTGTATTCGAATTACACTCACGATTAAAATAATTAGTAATTGAATTAACTGAAAGATTTGAATTATGATGTAATTTAATTGCAATGTAGTTGAATCACAATGAAATTGAAATACAATTTAGTTAAATCACAATTTAGTTGAATTAGCAAGCGAATTAACTAAAAACTTTGAATTCTCCAACTCTCTTCAACGTAGTTGAATTGCCATGTAATTGAATTACGATGCGACTAAATTTCGAAATTTATAATGTACAATAAAATGTGTAAATAAACTTATAATAATTATATTTCGAAATTTATAATTACAATGTAATTGAGAATTAGCACAACTCAGATTACTAAATACAGTAAATTCTCCCTAATTTTCCTTCAGCTTGTAAACAAAAACGGACAATTTGAGAAGAGGAAATACAATTAATCGAGCCTCGCGGCTCATTGTTATAGTTCCCTATTGTCAACAATTATAAAAACCAGACACAAGCCTCGAATAATCGTATCTTCACTTCTCAAATTGTCCATTCTCGTTTACAAGCTGAAGGAAAATTACGGAGAATTCACCGTACTCTTACAAATGTCCAAATCTAGGTAAATAATTAGGAAATATAAAATCAGAAATTTTTGACAAATTTTATCAAATTAGTCGATTAAATAAATCCTGATCGCTGTTAGGTACTATACGGTCGAGATTTCTTCGCAGCATTAGAGAAAATCGCAACAATACGAACGCAGATTGTAGATTATTCGCACGTAACGAGCCGAAGACCGTTCTCTTCTGGCAGCATTCATTAAGAATCGTTTCAAACGAGACTGCCATTGATCGTCCCTTTCAGCCAGTCGGCAGAGAGTACGTCTCAATACAATTAGGCGCGCCGATGATTCGCCGAACGATTTAAAAGGGCTCCAATTATTTCGGGAAGAACGGCGCACCGATAAGTTGCCCTTAGAATTGGCCTGCCGGCGACGATCGGTCGTCGATCGGCGAAATTTTTCAAAATCGCCACTTCCGCTGGACTATAAACAATGGACGCGGCCGAAGAGCCCGACGACTCATTATTTCCAGGTGATCGATCTTCTTTCACGGGGTTTTCACAGGGAACCGATAAGGGCCGCACCGAGAGATAGCACCTTTTCAAAGGATTCCGGGCGATGCGCCTCGCGCCGCCGTGGCAAAAGAATTGGAATGATTATAAATTATTGTTAAAAGTATTCTCTGGCATGCTTGCGACGCGTTTCCACCGCTTCGATCGTTCTCGTACGCCATCGATTACAAAAAGATTTCCCGAATTAAATATAAAATCCATATTTAGAAGGTAAGCAATAGTTTGTAAAATTATATTTAAACAATCTTTATTGTTTTAGGTCAAAAATAGTAAATGCAAGAAATATTAAATTATCGAAATATTATATTAGTAGTTGAATATAAAAATTTGAATGTGTAAAAATTCGAGAAGTACAGTTTTGGGTAATGAGTTAATTGCGAATTGAATTCGTCCGAATTAACTAACGCCGCTTTCAGTCGATCGAGCGCCGGTTCGCTTGTCTCAGCAGGTTCTCACTGTCGACCAATTCGGAAAAGCTGGTAACAAGGAGCCGTCCGATACATATCACGGCTCATAACGACGTGGAAACTCCTTTCTCGCCGAAGAAAGGAAACACTGTATCGGGGACGTCGTGTTACACGCATCCGGTGCTCGACGTTCGGTTTCCCGGCACGAAGACCGACCGACTATAAAGTCTCTCTAATAGATCGACGCGCGGTAGACGTCACGTCACCGCGACGTCACGTCGCGTAGCGTCGAGACGCGTCGTTACCGGTGTCGCCGTTCGCATCCGCTGCGATCTGGGCCGCGGGCTTCGGGACGCCTGATACTTACGAAATTATGAATTATTATTACGGTGTTATCATTGACGATATATTTGTTACTAATTGGTTTATTTTCTAGTTATTTATTTAAGCTGAAAAAATATATATATATATTTCTCAATTATTATATTACTGATTAATGTATATTGCTTATTAAATTATACCATAGAAAAATTTCGATCAAAATTGGTCAAATTCGACCGACGATAGCTCCGCGAAAAATCATCGTAGGACGATGACTCTATCTTTAGATTAAAGTTTGAAGCTTCTACTTTAAGATAGTCTTCTGCAGTTTTGAGTTATACGCGCCTACGTCGCTGTTACCATTTAAATGTGAAACCATGTTTGTCATATTGGACAACCACCCCTTTCCGGAGGTGTGGTTACTTTAAAGCGATGTAACTTTGTGAAAAGAAATCGCAGCTTCATTTCTTTTCTACCGAATTAAAGGGGGAAGATCGAACTTCATTCGACTGCGAACAGCATCTCCGAAAAAAATTTGACAAAGCCAGTGCACTTCATCGAATTTGGTAATTTTCAATACGACAAACATTTCGCCTCTAAAATATTACAGTGGCTAGGATGCGTTTAACTTAAGATCAATAAATACTATTTTAAAGTAGATGTTTCAAGCTTGAATTCGAGTAAAAGATCATCATCCTACGATAATTTCTCGCGGAGTTATCGTCGGTCAAAGACGACCAATTTTCATCCAAAATTTGTCTATGCTATAATTTTGTTGAGCAATGTATTGCTGAATTATTTTACGTTAAAAATTAATTTTATTTAATATAAATATGATTGAGGTACTAATAGTACTACAGTATGACTGTTTTAATAGAAATTTGGATTTTGAGTTTTTCTATCTATGTGTACTCGTTGCACTGTGCGCCGGCGTAATTAGAAGAGAGAGAGAGAGAGAGAGAGAGAGAGAGGGAAAAAGAGAGAGAGGGAGAGAAAGAGAAAGAGACAGAGCACGGTCGTCCAGTAGATTTTTCGCGCGTGTTAAACACTGCGGCGGCCGTATTGTCGCGCGCTATTATCGCCGCGAGCCAGCAGGAAAGCTCGCGTCGGCTGCGACCAGGCGAAAGCCGGCCGGATAACTTTCGTCGACACGGCCTATTGTTCCAGCACCAGCGAGACTTACTAGCCGAGGCAGAACGAGCAGAGCCTCGCGGCCAGACGAGTCAAAGAAACACGGACGATGATTAAGGGAACACAAAA